CACAGACGTCGCCTCGTCTGGCAGAAAACTTCGTCTCGATCTATCCTACTCCAACTGCAAATGCAACTGCGACTCCTTTCCTTCTACCCGCTGCCATTTGTGAGCGCGACATGCTTAGATATGCGTCCAACTCGCTTAATTGCAACTTTTATAGACAATTTTCCGGCTGTCTTGCGACTTGGCTGCAATTGCAGCTCTGAGCGTGATGAAGCATCAAAATATATTTTTATGGAGTTTTGATGGATTTTCGATAGAGTTTTGCAAATGGCTTCGCCTGGTGTAAACAGCATCATAAATACGCGCATTGCCCTAATCAGCGACGGATCGAATGAAAGTCGGGCCAAAAAGCCAATGATGCAGGCGATATGCAGCAAATTGTAGCTCATAATAAAGCACTTAATGAGCTTTATGCTGAGAGAGTGTGGGAAAAGGTGTGCGAAAGCATGACGGGGGTGGATTTTATAATCACATAATGGCATTAGCTGAAAGTTTTTCAAATGACAAAGAGCTAGAATCAGAGCTGTAGCTCGTAACACATAAAGTTGCTGTACAACACTGAATGAAAATATTATTAGATTAAGTCTAGGACAAGTAAGATGTTTGGTTAGATTTGGTCAATGTCATGAAATCTCCTTAAAGATAAGCTACAAATTGCGAAAGTTCAAATCATAGTCAAAGGCATAAGATAAGTTGTTCGACTTTTCGTTGTTTTACAACACTAGCCCAAAAAATCGTTTCTATCAGTGTAATATCTAGGCAATGTCATTTTACTTTAAAAAAGTTCTATATATCTGCCAACATAATTTTGTGATACATTTTTTATTTCCTACACATCAATCTTTATTAATTTTGGCCTGTATTTTATGGCTGTTGACTTAGTTTTTACACCACGCTAAGCAGGTCTGTGGTCGAGTTGGTTTCTCATTAATGCTCAACATCCAAACATGATTAAGACTCATGCTGTAGAATCGGACTCATAAATAATATAAACAAGCCAGGCGCAGAGAACGATAATAATTATTTATTATTTATGAAATATGCACGCAAACAAAATTTTTAATTAAATTCGTACATGCAAACGGCTTGGCTATGGACTCCAATTCCGACTGCGACTCGGACTTGGAGTCGTACTTGCAGCGGATTTCTAGAGCGGGTCAAATCGATAGAGGCCAGTTAAATAAATTCAAGACCAGAGCGGTAACAGCCGGACCTGTGCGGCGGCAGCCTTTGAGCTGCTCAACGCTGAATGTTGACTGTTGAATGTTTATTAATATTTTGTCATAATTTTCTGTTGCAACCGAAAAAAGATTACAGTTTTATGTTTCAAACGTGAGAAATTATTGGCGCTGCACTCGTTATCTGGACAGCTGCAGGTCCCGAGGTGCAAGCGTAGTGACAAGCGACAAGGCAAATATTAAAATATGCCCCGCTCTGATAAATCGCCTTGCGGTTCAAGTGCACAAGTTTAATTAAAAACGCCTCCTGGGTGCAGCGGGGGCAGAGCGCTAGCTGCATTGCTATCAGCAATGCCACAGAGCTTATCAAAATGCAGCCACAACAAATGGGCCACGATCCAAACACAATCCAAAAGTGATCGGAGCAAGGGGCACGCGGCAAGCAGCCGACCGACCGATGCAATTGCAAATTTATTGACACACTCACGCATTAAAATCATTTATGGTACGCATATCACACACACACTCTCTCACACACACACAAACACACATAGTCAGAGATATCGATAAAGAGACCAGCTTTGAATTTATTAAAATGCAATTTTCACATTGCTGTCGCTCGGGCTAGTTGGGTGTGCGAATGTTGCATGTTTGCCGCTTGTCTTCAGGATTTGATATTTGTTATTTTATTTTATATTTTTGTTGTTGTTGTGTTTTTCTGTGTGTGTTTTTTTTCGGTTTGTTTTTCATGTTGCCATTTGCCAAAACGCTCGCTCAACAAGTGCCACAACCAAAATCTGCGGCTGTCTGGGCCTGGTCAGACCGAGCAGAGCCGGGCCTAGTTGCATTTGTAGCTGTAGCTGCTGCGTGGCAATACAATCAATTTTTAATAAATTGTAAAATATCTATTTTGTTGTTGCTGTTGTTGATGTTGTTGTTATTGTTTGATTTTTTGCACCATGTTTGTGTGGTGTGGGCAAAGCGTTTTGCATTTTCATATGCATTTTATGCATTTTTTTAGTGCTTTTATTGCGTGGTATTATTTAATGACAGCTCGTAGATTTTACAACGTTTTTACACACCGCTTTAAGAATTGACGTCGATGAGGAAGCAATCGAGCAAGTGCCTCCCGGGATGATTATTGCATTATTTCTGTTAATAAAAGATCACTAAGAAGCTTAAGTTTATTTTAGATAAATTATCGCAAGCATAACTGGAATTCAGCAATTCTTAATGGGCGACAGTCACAACTTAAGCTTCTTAAGTCTGCATTTAGTATGCTCTTTAAATTGTGCAATTAAAACTTAAAATGCTGCAATAACTTAATAGATTAGATAAATAGTTCCGTTGACTGATCCAATAACTCACTTATTCGCCGCTGAGGCTGAGGCTGATGCTGATGCTGGAGTTGCTTATCAAGTCATGAGATTTCAATGCATTTAATTAGCCATAAAATGTCTTTTGGTATTCGCTTTGGCTATCGCAGTTGGCAAATAAAAATACCTCACTTGTTCAATGTGGATGCCCGATTAATTATGAACAGCTGAAAGCGCGCCATTAACATGAAAAGTCAAATCTATCTAAATATTTGCCATAGGCAACGAGCTCGCCGGGCTCCACTCGCTCCTCCAACTCCAGCATTCAGCTTCACCTCTGTCGGCCTGCCTTCTTCTCTGGCCGGTCTTTTGGTCTTGGCCAAATGTGCAAGTTGGCAAGTCATTTTTATCGCCCCGCAGTAATCTGAGCTGCACGAACAAACGGACGCACGGACGACGGGACAGACAGATGGACCGTACGAAAATATATAACATGGCATCATTTGCTGCGAGGCGCGCGTTTTCTTGTTGTACAATAGTCGGTGTACCGCCTCCTACTACCCGTTGACTCCTCTTTCATGGCTGTCTCCTTTTGCTGTTCCTCCCTGTCCCACCACGCTGATGATGCAACTTTATGGGCCACAGCTGATCAAGTGCTAAAGTCAGTGCTGACCCGACCAGTTTTATGGACCGCCATAGAATATGTTGCCAAACAAGTTGCTGTCGGCACAGTCCTTTAACTGGGTCACTATGACAGCGATTTTGCAGTCAGCAGTAGCCTGCAGCCAACTAGCAGCAGCAGCCGCAGGAGTCTCCTAATTAATACAAAAGACTTAGGCAACGAACTTGAAGTGCTCTGCAGCGTATATACATATGCTCTTCAGCTGCTTCTGCTGGCTCTGCACGGAATTTGATTGCACAGTCTGTATATTAAAGTGATATTTCCCATAAAGCCGCAAACGCAGCCTAATTAAAACAAAAGACTTAGGCAACGAACTTGAGTGCGCCGCAGTGAATCGTTTAGGCTCTCCAGCTGATGTTTCTCTACATGGAATTTTATTCTTATTTATTTTCTAAGCATTATCGCTCTACATATTAAAGCCTCAGAAGTTACCTAATTAAAACAAAAGACTTAGGCAACGAACTTGACGAGCATCTCAGTGAAGTGTTTATGTTCTTCAGCTGATGCTGGTTGCATTGAATTTGATTAGGACGAGCGCAAAACATAAAGTCACATAAGCCACCTAATTAAAAAAAGGACATCGAATGAATTAAGATCTGAAGCTTAGTCCACATTAAATTTGACTTGACTCATTACAAAACATATTCTCATACAAGTTTGATATTCTCTGTGGAAGATAAATGAACACAGCAGCTCTTGCGCATCTATCAAGTATATAAATATGATTACTCTTTGGACACCTTTTATGCGCTGGCCAAGTACCAGCTACTTAGTCGAGCTGCCCCTGCCTGAGCATCGACCATGTTGGGGTTCAGCTATGAGTTTGATTGTCATTCGCCGGCGGCACATCCTGCCTGTTCTGTACGTAGTCGAGGCTTGTTGGCTTGCAGCTTGTTGTCTTTATTAGCGCTGCGGCCATAAATCAAAGAGCCAGCTCTCTGTGCCGTTGACGGCGTCTCACATGTGGCCCTGGCCAGTTGTCCGTCCATCTGTCGGCCACGTACACTTTACATGCGCCTAGGCTACGTCGCCTGACCGGCAATATTTCAATATTAATCCAACTGCCAGCGCGATGACGAAGTGTGGAGCTAACTTTCCGCTCAAGTATTTGTCTAGTTTAGTCTCAGTTTCAGTTTCAGTTTCAGTTAAAGTTTGGCATATTTTTCGCCAGGCGCTGCAAATTGTTTACTTGCCATGCGGCTTATAAAAAATAGAAAATAAAATAAATCAATTGGTCTTGCTGTTGCCTTTGTTGTTGTTGTTTTTATTGTTGTTGTTGCCGGCAGTTAGCTGGGCTATTACTCAATTTTAGCCCGCGGTGCCATCTGTGCAACAGGGTTTCACGAGGAGCCAATAGAAGGCAACAGAAGGAGATGGAGAAGGAGTAGCCTGGGTTTCTGGTGCCCAACTTGACGGTCCTTATATGGCAAATGCCTACACATGTCTGCTGGATAAGCCGGGCAGAAAAATTAATTGTTCGACTAATGAAGCAGATGCCGTTGAGCTCTGTAATGATGTAACAACAATAAGATCGCAGAGCTCAGATACAAGAAGGAGATGTCAAGATCTGTTGAACTTTCAAGATAAATAAAGTAAACATGAGAAAGATTTGAATGGATGGTTTTGTATTTAGAAAATAAAGTATGGATGTGCAGAATGGTAACTATTTCATAAGCTGATGCAATAACATGTGGTGGAAAATTATGATAATAATGATTGGATAAATTAACAATTAAAAAAAATTATAAATAAGTATAATAAGAAGATTCTAAGTAGCTCTTGAGAAAAATATATATATACAAATCTTAACTCTTGATATAATAATAATTTCCGGCATATCTTTTATAATAGTATATATTCTCTGATTTTAGCGCAAAACTGAACGTAAGACGTAAACAAAGGCATTGACTGCCAAATACCTAAATGTTTCTTCAATATTGGCATGCCCGCAGAATATCAATCGGTAAGTCTATATCTATGTTAAAGGTTTTGGTAGATCAATCGGAGCTAGTCAGATTTAGCATTGATTTAGTTTTGATTGCAATCATTAGATTGAATCAATGGCCGCTTAGTGGAGGCACCCAACTGCGTAGACATGTCAGCTTGCGCTTTATTGTGGCCATGTCTTTAGTCAGAAAAACGAAAAAAAAAAAACAAAAAGAGAAACAGACTCAACCTCAGGCTCCAAGCTCGAAACTCGAAAAGTAAACGCACGTGCCGCACAAGTGAAACAACTTCATTTGATCATTTGGGCTCAATGCTCGGCTGCGACGGCGTCGTGTAGCACAATTTTTGACATTTTTGTGGCGCCAGCAACAACAACAACAACAATTCCATTGACATGCGTCAAACAACAATCAAAATAGGTTCGTTGTTGTTGTTTGCGGAGGGGAGAGGGGAGGCGACTAGAAAAACGTGCGCTTGCCATGTTGGCCATTCATTATGAACTCGTTTTTTTTTGGGGTACGAGAAGCTCCACAAAATCTTTGGGATGTCGGCTGCCAATTAAGCGAAACCGAACCAAACTGAGGTGAAGCGAAAAGACATTGAGACAACTCCATATGGCAATGTCGCTGTGCGTTGTTGTTATCGCCAGCTCGAAAATGAGATCTTACCCATTCGCTTATGAAATCCCAGAAATCATTAGCGCCCGCCGCCCGGCACTACGTGACACATTTGCCCGAGAGACATTTGCCCACAGATCCCAGCGCCAGCTGATGATAAACAGCGACCCAAGGAAACAGATCGAGCGAAGAAGTTGTTGTTGTTGTTGTTGTTGTAGATCGCAGTCTGGCAACGCTTATGAATTATTGAGTTGTTTGTTGCCGAGCTACTCGCCTCTGGCAACTCGTCGAATGCTTTGTAAATTAATTAAAACATTTTTGCATTAACTTCGACTCTCGCCTCCAAATCCGACTCTGAGTCTGAGTGCTGCCCATTTTTGGTGCTGTTTGCCGAATCGCAGCATTTAGCGAAATCATTTTCGCGAGTAATTTTCGCCAGAGTCTTTTTGGTGGAAATCAAACCGAATAACCGAAACTTGAATGCAAAACAGGCAATTTCTGTGACTGGCGGTGCACTTTTTATTTTGTTTCTGTTTTTTTTTTTGGTAATAGTTTTAGTTTTTACTTAGTTGCATTTTGTTTTTGTTGTCTTTTGATTTCGTTCGGCCAGGTTATTTGACTTTCAAATGAGCTCGAAGCGAGCTTCAGGCCGCAGTTTTTATGAGTTTTTCCGCAACATTTTTCTAGTGCTGTTGCTGCTGCCGCTGCTGCTGCTGCAGCGATTTTTGTGGCAATTTGCAATGCAAAAATGCCAAACGAAACAAAGAAATGTTTGGCCTGCCAGCAGACGACAATAAAAACCGACAGTTGACTCGTGTTGCAAGATATATTGTGCCTAATGTTGTTGCTGTTGTTGCTGCTGCTGCTGCTGCTGCTGTGGCCGCTGCAACTGTTGTAGTTGTTACTGCCTAGTCGCTGACAATTTGATGTGGCACATAAAGCAGCATCGAGCAGCTGCTATGGGCCGATCTCTATGCGAGCTCAGTGGGTCAACGCATCCCCAAACAAACCGCCAACAAAGGCAACCACAAATATGAATAATTACGAGCACTCTCCGGCCATATAATGGGGCTTACCCGATAATATTTATGGTAGCCGAAATGAAGTTGTTTTGTTGTCGCCATCGGTAGCAGAAATGTGCTTTGGCCATTTACCAAACATATTACCACAACAATGTGCCGAGCATTAACGGTGCTTTCCCATATGCCGCCGCGACCGCAAAGTGGCAAACAAATCGCCCAAATCCGAATGTTGCACACGTTTCAAACCAAACCATATGCGAATGTTGTCAACATTGTTCGCAACGAAATTCACATTCGGCGAGTCGCACATGAAATATTTGTAACACATTAGCGCAAAACGTTTTCTAATGGCCGCCACATTTATTACCACTCCGGGGATTTTTCTCCAGCGCTGGCGTGCCCCTACTTTATGTATATGTATATGAAAAACTCATATTTCATTTCTGCCCGCTCATATTTGGTTACCATAATTGCGGTCGCTGCAGTTAATAGAGTTTTCAAAGTTGAATATGCCATAAGTCGTGGGAGAGTTGAAATTAATGTGCGTGTGTTGAAATGCCAAATAAAACAACGATTAATATTGGAGAATTTGAAGTTTCAGGATTATCGATAACTCATGCTTGGAATCATCAAATCTTTCTTTTTATCGAAAGTGGTTGTCAAAATAGGTAAAATAAAAACGTTGTTTCAACGAAGATTCTATTGGTAAATAAAGAAATAAAATTATGCTTTAAATCGACTTTGGGCCTAAGAATTCATAAAATACGCAAGCTTGGAAGGAACCATTTTTCGGTCAAAAATCATCTCAAAAAAGCAAAAATGTTCGACATCTTAAAAATACTTTTTCGCCAGCAAATGCCCCTTACAAACGGCCATAACTTTTTCAAAAGTTTACCGATTTTTATGAATTGGACCATTTGACCAAAATGGTTTGATCTCCAGACTCATTCTTGACCACATTCAAATTCAATTCATTGGCAAAAACAATTGATTAGTCATTTCTTTTGAATTATATCGTGCTTAACCCCTTACTCATTTTAGAAAAAATATGTTGTTTGAATTTGAATCTTAAAATTTTATTTGTAATCTAATATAAGCGTAAAATACAGTCGCCAGTGAACGCCCTTATATCCTTTCAAACTTCCATAACTTTGCAAAAACTCAATCGAATGTGAAGAACAAAAACATTTTGGACATGGCTTCAACTTTTCAACTCAATTATTTTCATTTCAAAATAATACACATCTCTTATTCAAAATTTATTTTGTGGCTCCAGCTTTAACCATTTTAGATAAAAGAAATTTATAGTATTTAATCCGGACTAGATACCATTTGCTATTTATGTCAGCTTAAAGTTGACGTATTTTAATTAAAATTGAAACCCAATCAGTTTATCGACTTGAGCAAACAATCAAAATATTTATTAGCCTGTAGCAGCGGTTAGCTTTTATTTTAGATTTTCTTTTGTCTTAAACAACTTTCCCAACATTATCGCGCAGCTTGGCTGCTGAGCGTGTCTCCAATTTCGTTTGGCTGCGCTATGCACATTTCACATTCCATGGGCCAGCCAGCATTGAATGTGGCTTGCATAAATATGAGCATAATTAAATAAATATTTACACACTTTACTTACTTAGTAACTAGCTGAGATTTGTGCCTACCGTTTGCCACTGAGGATCGGACTCTCGATGTGACACTTGTTTTCATTTGGCGGGCAAACTTGTTGACCAGCTCAGCTGTTGACCAACCTGTCGCGGCTAACGAAGTCAGGGCTGACGCTGCTACACGAATGTGGGCTCCACATAAAAGCCTAAGAGCAGATCTCTTTTAACTGTGTGAATGCAGTGAAATTTTGTGCTGGTCCAATATGAAAACCAATATGCCACCGATTGGGAAAAACAAACAAGATTGTTGTTTGCCGATACGAGCGGAGAGTGAAAAATGTTTGGAGCGTGTGATTTGCCGGGCCAAACGTTTTTATGTCAGCTTTTTTTATTGTTGTTGTTTATTGTTTCAATTAAAGCGTAGCAAAGTTTGCCGGAATTATTGTGCAGTGACTGATCGCAGTCGTCGCTGTCGCAGTCACAGTCTTCACAAACCCAATCACAATCACAGTTCCAATCACCGTCTTATTCATTATCAAAATTCCAGCACGCTTTATGACGTTGCTCAGTTGTTGTTGTTGTTGTTGTAGCTGCTGTACTGATTTTTGTCCAGATTATTCATGGATTTCTTTGGGCTGCTTTTAGTTGTTGTTGTTGTCTCTCTTTGGAAATCAGCTTTCAGTTGATTTTCATTATACAATTCTCGTTGGCTCTGTTGTTATTTTTATGGCGCAAAAAACAAAAACAAAACCCTTTAAGAAAAATGTATAAAAATTAATTTCATTTTTATTATTATTACTTTTATTTTTTTATATTCATAAGAAATGCTCATTGTAAGCTACCGTGCCGAAGTGCTTGACATAATTTCAGTGACACAAATCGAGCGAGTCACAAGTCGCAAGTCCCCCCAAGTAGATGAAGTGCGCGGCGTGCTCGTTAATTTGTCAGTCAATAATAATTCGTGTGCGGTTCTCTCTCTTTCTGTCTCGCTCTCCCGATTCCGGGGCTTTATAATTGTTGAATGATAACTGCAGCCATCGATCAATCCAGCCCATAAATCTGTGCGCTAAACGAAGCTCAAGCAACGTGCGACGTGCAACGAGCTGAGAGCCGAGAGCTACGAGCTACGGGTAAACGGCAGTCCAAAGACGGCAGCCGGATTGTTTCCCCTGACTGCCAACTGAATTACGGCGACAGAGTGTTTGTATATCTCTTACCCGTCGTGCGACAGCCCAAAGATTTGCCATGTTCCGCACGATCTGCTGTTATGTCCATGTACAGTTGTAGCTCGCCACTCGAATCTGTTGTCCGCGTTGCGGAGCGTTGCAGAAATTGCCAGCTGAGCGCATACTTTTCAAACTAACTTTAATTAAAGTGTGCGCTTTAAATGCCGACATTTGAAATTTATTGGTTTTTTATGCGCAGCATCCTTGTCCATAGCACCTATGTCCCCCCCACCTCTGCACCCCAACCAGCTTTCCCCTCCTCTCATAGCATTTTTATTGCAGCATTGTCTGTGTTTATATATCATTTACGAGTTAACTTTTTAAATTTACACGAGAGACAGCTTCAATTGTCCAATAACCAGGTTTTATTATACAAACACATAAAGTGTCACGTTTATTTCTATGATTTAGTAGAACTTTTGTTGGCAATTGACAGTCAAAATGATATTAACTCAATAAAGAGGATAATTAGATGACTAATCTAATTGCCCAAGCTGTTAAAGTTGGGATCCTGGCTTGGATTGGAAACATTAAGTTTAAGCTTTCT